GCAGACTCACGTTGGTGACTTTCCTCTTGATGTTCTCCAGGAGATGCTCCTGGCCCCGGAGGAAGTGGGGGTGCTGGAACTCCGTGTCATCCTTCTCGGGCTTGACCAGCCCCCCCTGCTCGATGTGAACCACTTTCCGGAAACCGTCTGAAAGACAAGAGGAGCCCCAGTGTGAGGGCAGCCAGAGCGGAGGAGACCAGAGAAGCCGACCCAACGGTCATCTACAGCAGGGCTCTCCCACCTTTGCCACTTTTCAGGCTTGTGGACTTCAACTCCCAGGACTCCGTGCTGGCTGAGGAATTCTGGGAGCTGAAGTCCACAAGTCGTACAGCTGCCAAGGAGACCCCTGAGGCACGGCATCCATTGCCCCTCCAAGGCGTGGGGTCATTCTGCTTCCCAGGACACACTCAGATTAACAACGCTCTCGTTTTTACAAGCCCACTTTCCCAAATGCCAAGGAGCTGAAAGGAAACACTTCCCACCCGCAGGTAGCCGGGGTGGGGTGGGGTGTGTGTGTCTTTTTTGGAGAAGCATGGAAAGGGTTGCAGATCGGAGCAGAACTGAACCAGCACAGCCTCCCAGAAGCATCAGGTGGGCCCGGTTTGAAGCAGGACCTACGGGCGGCCCGTTTCCCTTGGCTGTTTGGTGGTGCTCTTAGTCTGTGGAGCTGCCCCATCATCCTCAGTCAGGGTTGTCCAAAAGGAAGCTGGACTTTCTTGCTTTTTTTCCTTGAAAAGGTTCTGCTTCTCACCCAAGAACGGAAGAAGCTTCTTGCATGAGAACAAAACGTTTTCAAAGGAAAAGCAAAGAAGGAAGTCCAGGTGAGCCTTTGGGGAAAAGCTCTTGGTGGACGGTGCTCTTAGCCGCAGCCTCCATCTTTGGTATCCGGTCTCTCCTCCAGAAAGCCCCTCCTCCTTCTAAAAGCCCCCCCCCCCCCGCCCTTGAGGGGGATCCTTGAGGCCACCAGCAGAGGCTCTCAGCCCTTTCTTCTGCCAAGCCGGCCGGCAAAAGCCGAGGTTCAAGGTCTCCTGGCCCACGGTGTCCCTGTTTACGAACACAAACAGCAGCAGAGACCCTAGTCCTCAAGGCTCAAGCGCCAAGCCTCGCCTGCCCCTTTAGGGCAGCTATTTTTATGGATATGGGGCTTCTCTGCCCTCCCTTTCCTCGGGGGGGGGGGGGCTGAGGCAGGGGCCCTGACAAAAGCGGCTCCTATTCTCCTCCCATCGGGAGCCCTAAAGGATGGGAGAGCTGCACTTGTTCTGGGGTCCCCTGATTATTATTTCTTCGGTGCTGCAGGCAACCTCGGGCAGGGAGGCCGATGGGTGGACATCCCAAATTCTCAGTACTGTATTTTTACTGTATTTCTATTCTTAAAATAGAAAAAAAATAATAGTAAATGCTATTTCAGGAACCACAGAACATTTGGGGTCCGTTGCCACAAGACGATGCTCGGTCCTGTTATGGAGAAACTGAGGGTAGGAATTTGAAAAAGCGCACCCCCAAACCGAGGACAGCTAAATGATAGCAATAGCGCTTAGATTTATATACTGCTTCACGGTGCTTTCCAGCCCCCTCTAAGCAGTTTACAAATATCAGCCTATTGCCCCCAACAATCTGGGTCCTCATTTTACCCACCTCAAAAGTCAACCTTGAACCTGGTGAGATTCGAACTGCTGGCTGTCGGCAGAGTTTGCCTGCAATCCTGCATTCCGACCACTGCACCCCCAGGGCTCTTTGAGTGACAAACCCTTTGAATGTTTATTTCACATTTCATGCTTCAAGGGCATTTTGTGAAGAGCAGAAAGTCCAACTTTCTCTTGCCCGATGCACCCCGCATCAGAAGAGGTCACGGCTGTGCACCATGGACTTTGCCTCAACTGAACTCAAAGGAAAGTCCAAGAAGCCCCCCCCCCCCCCCCGGCACCACACGCAACCGGAGCAAAGCGCCATCTCCTCTCTGGGCACGGCCAGAACCCGCCCGCTGGGCTCCACCCCAAGCAGCATCTCAGGGGTGTGTGTGTGTGTGTCCCTGGCAGACCTTCCCCAGGCGCTGAGCATACTCACACATGTTCAGCTGCCGCACAAAGCTGGCCATGTTGTTGTGTTTGAAATACTTGGGAAGGACCTCCTTAGCGAACTGGCCTTGGTCGAAAACATGGAAGCTGTTTCCACTCTGCAACGACAGAGAAAGGAGGAGTCCGCCAGCTGGCCGGAGCACAGCCAGCCGAGCCATAAAACAGACATGCCTATAGGTAGTCCTCCACCTACGACCACTGTTGAGCCCAACACTTCCATTGCTAAATGAGACCATCGAGTTGTGCCTCACATTACAGCTTGACTTGCCACAGCAGTTCAGTGAATCGCTGTGGTTGTTAACCTGGTTGTTAAGTGAACCTGGCTTCCCCCTTGACTTTGCTGGCCGGAAGGTCACAAAAGGGGATCATGTGACCCTGGGACACTGCGACCGTCATAAGTATGAATCCGTTGCCAAGGGTCCGGATTTTGATCACGTGACCGCAGGGATGCGGAGGTGGCCGGCAAGAGTGCAAACGGTCGTAAGCCACTTTTTCAGAATGCCGTGGTAACTCTCAACGGTCACTGAATGGATGCTCGTAAGTCGAGGACTGCCTATGCTGCAGCAGCCCCTTCCGCTCAGAAAGAGGCAGCCACGGGCAGGAGGCAGGTCCAGGCAGCCGGGAGCCCCGTGGGAAATATTTGAAAACCTGTCTTTAGTCAGGAGGAGAAGCCTCCCACGCAGACACACGCCTGACTTTTCAAACCCTTCCAGAGAAAAATTAGGAGGGACAAGAGATGCCAGAAGCTGGCAGGCTGCAGGGTTAAATGCCAGCGTCATTGTCCTGTCCAGAATGCCGCACGCCCCCCCCCCCCCGCCCACCGCAGCCTTCCTGGGAAGTGAAAATGGCGGCGGCGGCAGCGCCAAATGGACCGGCTCCTCGGAATCCCTCTCGGGATGGAGGAGAGAACAAGGACCCCCCCCACACAAGTTTCCTCCACCCAGATTCTCCCCGCAAAGAGATGGTAAAAGAAGCCCTAGCTCTGCAGACCTAAACCCGTTAAGGAAGAGCCGTGGTTCAACCCATGGCCAGTCCATTGGGTAGCCAGGCTATTCATTATCAAGAGGGAACCCATGAGCAACATTATCCAATACTTTATGGAGTCTTAAGTACACTGCGTCCCTGACATTCCCTGGTTCTCCTAATCTAATAAATTAAGTTTTAAAAACAGTAAAATTTGTCCAGCAAACCCATGCTGGCTTTGAGTAATTGTCTTGATCCTTTACTAAGTGCTTGCAAGCCAACTGCTTAATGATTTTCCCAAGTACCGAGACAAATTTTTCATTCTGCAGTTTCCCAGGTATACCTACCTACCTACCTACCTCTCTCTCTCTCTCTCTCTCTAAACAAATGGCTATTTACCCATTTTTGGCATTTCCCCTGTACTGTGAGAGAGAAAGGCAAGCGAGAAGACGAGAGTCAGGGTTCCGATGCCAATCACAGGTGGCCGAGCGAATAAAGGAGATGGCCTTGAAGTACAGAAGGAAGGTCCAATATCAAGGCAACAATCAAGATCACTAGAAGCTTTCAAGAAGAGAGAGGCTGCCAGAAACGGGGTAGGGTCTCCTGCTTGGATGGGGGGATGGACCAGATGACCTACAAGGCCCCTTCCAACTGTTATTCTGCTGAGACAAACAAAACTTGAACCCAGACCAAGAGAGAAATGGGCAAAAACACCTGACAGACCCCTCACGATGAAGCGATTCAGACAAGTAAGGTTCTATCACTACAGCTATTGTACTGAAAGTAGCTTTAGACCTGTGTGGTGTCTGTTTCTCCTTCTTCTTCTGCCGTACCTGATAGGACTGACAGGTGACCAGGGAAAGGCTGCACCTTTATTTATTCAGCTGGTTCTACAGGACATATTAACCACTTTTGTTTTAATCTTGGTTTGTTGAACCAGCCATACGTTATTGGCTTGACTAATTGGGCTATTATATAAGGGCAATATTTGCAGGCCACAATGAATTACTTCATTCTATATAGATATGATGAAATAAATAATATCAACCTAATTGAAGCTGAAAGAACTCATATACAGGTAGTCGAGTCACAACGGTTCATTTACTGACCGTTCAAAGTTACAGCGGCACTGAAGAGAGTGACATGACCATTTTTCACACCGAGGACTATTGTAGCATCCCCGTGGCCACGTGATTTACATTCAGATGGTTGGCAACTGACTCATACTTACGACGGTTGCAGCGTCCAGAGTCATACGACCCTCTTTTGCGATCTCCTTACAAGCAAAGTCAACGGGGAAGCCAGATCCACTCAACGACAGTGTGACTAACTTAACAACTGCAGTGATTCACTTAACAACTGTGGCAAGAAAGGTCGTAAAATGGGGCAAAACTCACTTAAACCCATGTTTCACTTAGCAACAGAAGTGTGGGGCTCAATTCTGGTCCGAAGTTGAGGAGTTCCTGGCGTGGGAAAGCCCGGCCTGTGGTTCGAGGGGCCCTTTTGGTGCAGGACTGGCAATCGGTCAAAATCAGGACCTGAGGGGAGGACCCCCCCCCACCTTCTCTGGGGGCCCTTCCCAGAAAGGACGGGGCCCTTCAGCCAGGCCAGGCCAGTGCCGGGCAGTGCATGGCGCAACAGCCTTCTGGCCACCCACCCACCTCAGCCCGGCTTCCGGCAAGGAGCTGCTGGTAGGAGCAATCGCTGCATGGTTTGTTCTGAGAGCTTTATTATTTAAAGGCATCCCTTTTGTTAAGCAAAATGCCATTATTCCTACGGCTCACAGAGCGGGAGTTTTATTGCCAAAATATGAGGGTGTCTTCAGAAGGAAAAGAAATATTTTCCAATCTGGCAGAAGAACATAAGAGACCATTGTACAACTGGATTTTCTCTCATGGCAGGAAGAAGATCTGCCATTGAGTCATCTTCCCGTTGAGACAACGCCATACGGTTGGAGAACAAACACAGCTGGGAAGGGTTGTGCCACCCTTGGCCCAGGCTTCGGTCTGCCAGTTCAGAGAAAGGGAGGCGCATCTTGGACTCCCCAAACTACTCACTGATCCTGGAATCCTTGCCTGGACCAGGCAACCTGCCCTCAAGTGACACTGCCGGAAAGTCTCCTTTGGGGGCAACGGTTGACAGCTCGTAGGTCGTCTCCCAATCCCATTCCCTGGCCTTTTCCCATCGACTGCAAAGCCAGAGATTTCTTATACAGCAGAGGGCTCTAACTCACACGTGAATCCTAAGGCTATTCTTATGCAAGACTGACAAGGCTACCATAGGCCCAGTCACCGGCTTGCCACACACACATCTTTATTGGTGTATGCAGGGTAAAAATAGGCCCGTTATATCACCCCGTGTGTTTCAGGCTTCCCAGGTGCCAAGGACTCTACTCTGCTGGATTTCTCCTTTCTGAAGTCAGTAAGGTCTCCTCGGCTCATCAGGCACATCCTTAATCGTCTGGGTTATCGCAAGGACAACCCACGAGGCTTCAACCAATCGCCACCTGGCTCCTGAAGGATGCTAGGATGCAATTCACTAGGGTTGGGGGGATTTAAATCCACTTAAAGTGGCATTTCCTGACCATGCTTCAAACCTACGCCTTCATCCTGCAATTGTCACAGAAATGGAAAATATAAAGAGGGTGCCTGCTTTGGGGGACCTGTTGGTATTATGCCTTCTTCAGGGAGCAGCTGGCGTACAGATTTGATTCCTTTTATTTTTTTAACCTATCTAAAGACAAGTACCCTTTTGCTAGTGTGCTTTGTGAGCCTGAGTCATTCTTAGCTCCCTGACATCTAGTTTCCCGTCCTCTACAACCCAGCCTTGCTCACGGTCAACCCCAATGAAGTTCAGATGAGTCCGAAGTCAGCTGTCCGTATTTAGGATGCACCTGTTGCCAAGCTACAGGACTGAGTCAGGCCATTGGCAGGCCAGGAGTCCACCGAGGAGTGTTCAGCAATCTCTGTCAGGAAGCTCACAAGAATATCGTGGAAGGGTTTCCCTTGGGAAGCTGTGGCTGCTCCACTGGTGGAGGTTTGTAAGAAGAGGTGGGACACAGCCACTATTTCTTGGCCCGGCACACAGATAAACGAAGAGCAACTTTCCTGGAAAGGCTGCTTCCTATCACCTCTTCAGTGTGCCTTTTAAGGAACTTAGCTCAGGCACATTTTTCCCCACAAGGCTTTGAAAGTATTTCTCCTCTTCCGCAATTGAAGGGAAAATCTACATGGTACTCCATATATAAACATTTTGTTCTTCCAAGAGCCAGAACGCTACAAAATTACCCAACCTGAGCCTTAAAAAAAAAAAAAAAAAAATGGAGAGGGAACACAAGTAAATCCAGTTGTCAAGCAAATGTGACCTTCCTCCCTCGACTTTGCTTGTCAGAAGCCAGCTGGGAAGGTTACGAAGGGGGGGGGGGGAAACCACGTGACCTTGGGACAGTGCAAGTGTCATGAACCAAATGTTGATCCATGGGGATGCTGCAACGGTTGTGAAAACCAGTCATAAGTCACCTTTTTCAGGGCTGATGTAATGGTCACTAAACAAATGGCTGCAAGTTGAGGACCACCTGAATGCACATTGGTCACTAGGAAAGGCACACAGTATTGCTTTTACCTAGCTATAATGTTTTATTAGGACTGATTATATTTACAACTCTACCGTTGTCTCTCATGAGATGCAGTATAACCACAATCCTTGAATTACAATCTGGAACATACTTTTCTTATCCTCAAGAGACCTTTTCCCAAACTGACTCAAACGGCCTCCAGTCCTGTCTTTCCTCAGGAGCTATGAATCCATCCCATCAATCCTGGGCAGTTATTATTCTTCAAAGTTGGATTTTTCTCAAATGTTGATTTAGCGGCACTGATTGCATTTCAAAGTGGTAGCTTCCCATTGAGGCATTTTGGCAGAAGCGAAACAACCATCTGTTTAGAGATACTGCACACTTGCAACAATAAAACTCCTCTGAACATGGGGAGCTTACTTAAAAGAGCAATTACTATATAAATTACTCAGTTTAAGACACTTTTTTAGGCACATGATATTCTGCTAGTTGGAAGATTGCTACAGATTTCTTTACTTGTTTACTGAAACAGAGATCTGAGAGGAAGCCTCATTCTAGGCTTTTGCCACTAAACAATCTGAACAATCTTTTCTCTTTTCTTAGCCTAGAATAGAATAATAGAGGACCTTGGAGGTCTTCTAGTCCAACCCGCTGCTCAAGCAGGAGACCCTATACGATGTCAGATAAATGGCTGTCCAGTCTCTTTTTAAAAAACTCCAGTGATGAAGCACTCACACCTTCAGAAGGCAAGCTGTTCCATTGGTTGATTGTTCTCATCGTTAGGAAATTCCTCCTTAGTTCTAGGTTGGTTCTCTCCTCGATTAGTATCCATCCACTGTTTCTGTCTTGCCTTCTGGTGTTTGGAAATTAGGTCACGCTCTTGTATTTGTAGGAGCCCCTCAAATATTGGAATATTGGCCCTTTCCCTGTGCTCGAACACTGACATAATCGCTAAGGACAAATCTAGTTAAGGTAAGCATCAAGAGTTCTCCCTTTCTGGAAAAACTGCTCCTTAAGATAAATTGCAACTCCATCCATCTCAGTTTCTTATTTTTCAATAGCATTTCCATCCGGCTTTAATTTCACATTGTTTTCTCTCACCCAAAGTGTGTCACAGAAGTACAGATTGCTTGAGCTCCTGTTGAGCTATATTGATGACAGATATTCCAGTGGTCCCGACTCACAGCTTCTTGGAGACGCTGAACAATGGAAATCCCTGGGACATTATAGCTCAGTGACCAATAGTCCCATAACACCTGCACCATGCAACAAGAAGGACCAGAACCTAAGCCACAATCTCCAACTACACAGGAGGGCCAAACAGTAAAGTAACTTTTCAAACGATGCCAGCAGATAAGCAGCAGGTACCATTTTGAGAATAAAAACTTTAAAACACCCCTACAGCGCTGATATTTTAATTGAGAACTGCCCCGCTATAAAACCTATAGAGGAGAAATGGGAAAAAGACAGATTGCTAATACTGGTCTCCTTAGGGTAACAAGTATAAAGGGGAAAAAATACCAAATGGCTCTTTTCCTATGCTTGAAAACAGTCTAAAAAGCACTCTTTGGTATGAACTGGAGTAAAGAAAGATACAAAAACACACGTTAAGAAAACTCAAGAGAGGGCAAATTAGTAAAGGGCGAATAACACACACTTTTCACCACCTTAGGCTGTTTCACCACCAAAGAGCTGGGGCAGAAACAGAGAAACCCTCTACATTCTTCATCCTCTAAAGCAGGGGTCTCCAACCTTGGGCAGTTTAAGACTTGTGGACTTCAACTCCCAGAATTCCTGAGCTAACATGACTGGAGGAGGAATTCTGGGAGTTGAAGTCCACAAGTCTTAAAGCGGCCACAGTTGGAGGCCCCTGCTCTAAAGCAGCGCTCTCCAATATCGGCAACGTTAAGACTTGGGGACTACAACTCCCAGAATCCCGCAAGCCTGTGGTCGTTGTAGCCCGCCCAACCCGAAAGCCCCCGGGAGTTGAGATGCGTCGCTCCAGAGCAGCGGCTTCTCCGGGGCTCCATCACCGGCCCTTCGAGGGAGCCTCACCTGAGGAGCCCCCGAGCATCCCCTCCTGAGAGACCGCAAGGCATTTCTGCTCCGCCCCACTTGCCCGGTCGCCCCTTCCCACAAGGAAGTCGCCTCCTCCTCCTCCTCCCCGAACCCGACAGCCTCGACCGGACAGGAGCCGGAGGGGACCCAGGCCCGGGCTGAGACCCCGCCGCGGCCTGCTTCCCGCGTGGCCCGAGGCCTTCCTCACCGGGCTCCAGCAGATGAGCGCGTCCGTGTCCGGATCCTCCACCAGCGTCCACAGCTTGGTGAGGAAGGCCGGCACGTTACTGCCCGCTCCGCCTCCTCCGGCCACGGCGCCGGGGGGCTCCATGCTAGCGGCGGGCAGCCCAGCCCAGCCCGGGCCCGCTTCCCTGGGCCGGCCAAGCCCCACGACGGGCTCCGCTGCTGCCGCCGGAGCGGGCGGCGCGGAAACGACTAGCGGCCGCGGCTGCTCCGGCCTCGCCAAAGCCCGACGCCGCGCTGCGCACTCGCTCCCTCAAAAGGAACGGGCATGGCCGCCGCCATCTTGCGACGCGCAGACGCAACGCCGCACGCACGCACGCGCCGTCTAGACGCACTGTTGTGCCTCGCGCCGTGCGAGGGACTGGTTGTGGTAGCACGCATGCGCTCCCACCTGTTGTCGTGCACAGATGCGCGCAGGCGCAGCCCTTCCACCTGTTCGCACCGTCCACGGGGCTGCCTGCAGGGGGCTCTCCCGGCGCCTTCCGCTTGGCGAGTCTCCGGAAGGACGGGGGGGGGGGGTCCTTCCCGGGACGCTGACGGTCGGCTTCTGCCGCTGAGGATGCCGGCAGGACGGCTCCAACTGGCCCGATGAACCCGCGTTGCAGGCGCTTCTTTTGCTTTCGGCTGTGCGAAGAGAGGCAGCGGCAGCGTCCTCGGTGGGGGCGTTCGCGCTGCAAAGGGCAGGAAAATGTCAGCCTTTGGGGGGAACCCGATCGGAGTTGCGTGGACCATCCTTGCTCCAAGCTTCCTTCCCCCGTTGCTCGTGCAAGCCGGTAAAATAGGTCCTTACGGTTGTTGTTGTGTCCAACTCTGTGTGACCCCCGTGGACCAAAGCATGTGAGCGCCCCGCCCCCCGTCCTCCACTGTCTCCCAGGGTTTGCCCCAATTCATGTTCATTACGTCGATGACACGATCTAATCCTTTGGCCTTTCCTCTTCCCCAACATCAGGCTCTTCTCCAAGGACCCCCTCTTCTCATTTGGTGGCCGAAGAATTTGAGCTTCAGCTTCTGCCCTTCCAAAGGACACTCGGGGTGGGCTTCCTTCAGGACTGACCGATGGGATCCCCCTGCAGTCCGGGGGGCTTCTCGGGACTCTTCTCCAGCACCGCGATTCCAAAGCTTCCATTCTTCCGCACTCAACAGCCCTCGCGCTTCTTCTCCCTTGCGAAGTTGCACGAGCTTTAGCGATAATTTTCGAAGTGATTGCCATACCAATCTCCACTCTTCCGTTGGCTGAGTTCACTATTCCACATTGCACCAATGACTTTAATCATTTAGGCTGCGTGGACTTCAACTCCCAGAATTCTCCAGTCAGGCAGCCCAAATCAAGAACTCTCCGCCTCTGCAGAAGGGGGGAAGCTTTCCTTGTGCCTACTGTTTAAAGCAGGGGTCTCCAACTTTGGCAACTTTAAGCCTGGCGGACTTTAACTCCCAGAATTCCCCAGCCAACATGGCTGGCTGGGGAGTTCTGGGAGTTGAAGTCCACATGTCTTAAAGTGGCCAAGTTTGAAGACCCCTGAGATTAGTCTCAAAGACAGCCTTTTCTATTCCCCTCCCCCACCAACACCCGGACACTCTGGGGATTGTCCCGAGAGACCCGCCGGTCGCTAGACTTGGAAGAGCGGCCCAAGGGGCGACGCTCGAACGAGCCAGGGGCTTCCCGGTTCCAAGGCGCATGCGCGACGGTAGCCAGCTCGTCAACGAGGAGCGGATAGGGTGGAGCGAAGGCCTACCGACTTAGCGCGCAGGCGCCACCCGGCGAGGGCGGGCAAGGAGCTTCCGGCGCATGCGTCGTGGCTAGTGTCGGCTGAGGGGAGCGCACGCGGTGCCGACGGAGGAGGGCTGCGGGACCGGCAGAGGCGGCTTTGGCCGGGTGAGCGCGGGGAGCCGCGTCTAGCCGACCGGGTGGGGCATCATCGAGGCGGGGAGGGCCGCCGGGTCGGCCGCAGCCTTGTCTGGCCAGGTTGGCGGGTCTTGAGGGTCTCCGGGCGGCCTCCCCCAAAGGCGGGCGGGGGTGGGGTGGGGGGCTGGCTGAAGCGCGGGACCGTTTCTCCCGTTACCTCACGGCCTTTGCCTTCTGGAGGGACGGGGGATTCGGGCAACGTGTGGAGCAGCGGTCTCCGCTCTTGGCCGCTTTAAGGCTGGTGGACTTCAACTCCCAGAATTCCCCAGCCAGCAGAGCACAGCGGACTAGAGCACGGCTGGGTGCAGAATTCTGGGAGTTGAAGTCCACCAGCCTTAAAGCGTCCAAGTTGGGGGACCCTGGTGTGGAGGGAAGGCAAGTAACAATTTACCTCGGGAGTTCGAGGCCCCGAGGAGCCGGTGGGGGGCTGTTTTGCCGAAGATGCACGGGCTCTCCAAGGCCCAGAGAAAAGGCGGTTGGAAGGGACACCTCAGAGGCCTTCTAGTCCAACCCGCTCCTCAGCCAGGAGACCCTACAACAAATGGGGGTCTCCTGCCAGCCTGCTCTTCTTCGCTGTGTAGTTTGGAAATAAACAATCACCAGCCAAAACTCCCAAGAGAAAACAATGGTAATTTTATTCACATCTTTGCAAAGAGGGTGGACCAGGCACACGCAGGGACAGCGGACGCACCCTAAAATTAAATCAGTGCATTTGCTTTATATTCTCTAGTCCCGTTGCAGATTTACCTCCCACCCTTTTTTTGGAATGTTTCCCACATTCCCAACCTCCAGTGATTCCACTGGTTAATTGATCTTGCGGTCAGGAAATTCCCCCCTTAGTTCTAGGTTGCTTCTCTCCTTGATTCTTCCTAGGAACCAGGAGGATCGACAGACGGGC